GAAAGTTCTTCAGCCGTCCAGAGAAGTTTCGTTTTCTTTGAACGGTTTAATTGCTTTCCCGGAACGCAGGTACGACACACACGTTTACAGATACGGCGCACATGAAGAAAGGCGCCCGCGGCTAGTCGGCGAATCGATAAGCCGCTCACACACACGTATGTCCGATCGCACACAATCACGCTCGTGGTCGCTACATTAAGAATTCTAAAATTTATCAACTAAACCATTCGTTCATGGTCTTTAAATTTGAGTACTTTTGGCATGAACGAACAAAATTATTATTATTGACTGTTATATTGAAAAGAGATTCTCAATTAAATCTTTTATTGTGTTTGTATGGTTTGGCGGCACCTTTTTCGCCTTTTGGGAATCCTTAAATGAGCATGTCTCTTGTTTCAGACAATGTAAACGAGTACCTTCACTTGGCAGCTAATGCTGACAAACAACAATTACAAAGGATAAAAGCTGTTTTCGAAAAGAAGAACCAAAAAAGCGCTCATGTGATATCTCAGTTGCAGAAGAAGTTAGACAATTATCAGAGACGATTACGAGAATACGAGACTCACGGTACTGCTCACAGTCATCGACCACCACGAGAGGTTTTAAGAGACGTAGGACAAGGGCTAAAGTAAGTCGAAAATCAAACATTTAACAAGTTTAACATTAGAGTAAGTAGTTGTAATGGGAACTTTCAATTATTTGATAGTTGGCAGTTGAAATGGATGAAATAGTAGTTAATACGACTATTCACAACAATAAAGAAGGGGATAAAAATGAATTTTTTATTTGCCTTAACGGGATATAAAGAACTCCACCTTTATAAAGAAATTGAACCCATGTGCAACTGAAAATGTTTGCTCAAAAAACAGTTACGGCAATAACTATTCATGTCTGTTGGGATAAACAATTAACAATATTTCACTAACAAATTGACCAATTTACGCCCACAAAAACATGTTCGATTACAATTTTAAAAACCTTCATTTCAATGTGATAAAATCACTAAAAATTATAACACGTGTAATTATACAACACGCTACTGAAGTGAAACTTCTTCAAACACACAAACATACCAGGATAGGGGTTAAAGAATTGGTTTAATGGTATTATTTGTACACTATGAATTTAAATTTTACACTATACATGCCGGAGTTGCCTGTAGCTAGGGTTGCCACTCTTTTTTATATAAATAAAGGACGTTGGTTATAGAAGGTAGAAAAAAAAAGTAGGCTGTGTCAAAATAAAGTACAATTTATTTTACTCTATCATTTTGCTTAAAAGCATAAGTATTTTTCATTACTTTTAATAACTTTTAACAAATAATTATAATTGCTAAACAATTGCACATCATTTTTACAGTCTCGATTTAAGTTAAAGTAAATAAGTAGTCCTTGTTTATCAGATTTAGAGACGCTTTATTTCTTTTGTCTAGCCATTTGATACTCACCAAAAAAGAACTCTGTAAATGCTGATGTGGCGGAAATCGACAAATTTAAAAAATTATCGTCAGTCTTATTAAATATTTGCTGCCATTTTTGTGCAGTAGATAACTCTGCAAAATCATTAGAATTATATATCTGATAATATAATTTATTTAATAAAGAAATTTCTCCTTAAAGATCATCCATATTTACATTAAGTTTTTGCAGATTTAAAGTTTCGACTATTTTCACAAAATTATCAAATTTAATATTGCTTTTTAAATTTATATTCGTACAACCGCCCTTTTTATATAGTATATCTTAAACGAATCTCAGAGAAATTAATCATGGGAAATAAAGTATTTTCGCGTACATTATTTGTCGCATAAAGTATAGAGTACAATTGTCCTAATTAAAGTACAGTACTGTATAATAATATACGGGTGGCAACCCTACCTGTAACGAACGTTGCATTAAAGCGCGCTCACGGTTCAAGAGAACCCCACTACGAGACATCCGTTGTATGATTTCGTTACCCGAACTTACCCTACCGTGCGTAAAGAAGTTTCATTTCAAAAAATCATTTTTACAATAAACGATCAATACGCAAGAAATGGCAATTTTTGACGATGTTTTGAGATTTGTGCAATAACTAATTGACAAAATTGATTGTACCGCGGATCAAACTGAAAGTTTTTAAGTCTACAACAAGAAACAACTCCCGTCCGGTAACAAACTTATGTCGGGAAAATTCTCTACCGACTAAACTATATGGCTCATTCATACGTTCTATCTAAGCGAAAGCTTAGATTATGAAAACGTGAACGTCAACGTGAGTTTTAAGTGACTCCATGGCACTCCACGTCGGTACATAACATGAACTGGTAGTTTACAACGTGAAATAGTCGCTCTTGCATGTAGGATAAATGGAAAATTTGCTCTCGCATGAATGAAGCTCATTGTGAATTAATTTTTAGTTTTAAAATTGTAATAACTACTATAAAAAATACTGGATTCAATAAAATGGCGTATCTACTATAAAACACTATAAAAAAATATAATGGCAATTGCCAAGGAATGAATGAATGATTTCAGTTCTTCATTCTCGAATTATCCTGAGAAAATTTGTATTACAATGACGGATTTGGGGGGGGGGGTGGAATTCAGTTTCTTCTAAAATTAGGAGAGTTGTTATTTGGAATAGGGAATAATTATCCGTTTAAAATGATTAAAATGAGCCTGCGTTCACAAATCAAGTATATATTTTAAGTAGTTCAATTTAAATTTGGCATAACAGAAATAAAAAGAAAAATAGTGGTCATTGCAGTGGTAGAACGATACCGATGACAAAATAACGATGCAAATGTTCCACGGTGACAGTGTGGCTTTAGTTATTCTATCAATAATTTCATCGGTAATTTTTTACATTAGTTGACATTGGAATTGAAACATGAAGTTTAGTCAGGTAGGTAGTACTCACCAAGTAGAATCGTGTGGTAGTATTAATTCCATGCGGAAACCAATGTTGCTTGAGATACAGGCTCCTAAAGTTTTCTTAATCGGAGGAAATTCCGGTTGGTACGGCCCTGACTGCAGCCTTTCGTCAGCTGTTGCATATGCATTGATGACGTCATTGTTTATTTAGATAGATTTATGACACACTCGAGTTTCTTTAATGCCTCTGCTGATATATTGGAATAATGTTAAGAGGATATATTTTAGGACAAACGATGTTTGGCGGGAACAGCTAACGGAAGGCTGAAGCCAGGGCCGTACCTACCGGAATTTCCTCCGATTAAGAAAACTTTAAGAGCCTGTATCTCAGTCACATTGATTTTTAAACAAATAATAAACAAAATTCCAATAAATACTACTACACAACTTTACTTGGTGAGTACTACCTACCTGACTAAACTTCATGTCTCAATTCCAATGTCAAGTAATGTAAAAAATTACCATTTAATCTTCGCTTTGTTTCGCAGTCTGTAAATGTAATTGTAATGCGCTTGCACGAATGAGTGAGAATACAAATGCCGCCGAGTACAACGCAACAAAGCGCATGTAAAGTAGAACGTGACGCCAGATGTAGTGAATTAGGCATCAGTTAGTTTAGGTTTGTCGTATGAATGAGGTACATGAGTATTTTACATGATAAAATAATACAGCGGAAAGAAGATTGATTTTGGCGGTGGAGAAGCACCCCATTCTTTACGATACAAGTCTATCCAACTATAAAAGTGCAACTGGCCGGGAAAGTGCTTGGAAGAAAGTATGTCATTCCACTGTTTTCATGTTAAGTGGATGTACCCAGTATTCTACCCGCCGTTTTCTGCTTTTTCTTATTAAAAGTAGAGTTAAAAGCTCTTTTAAACGTTGATGACAACACCACATCAATGACTTTACAATATTCTATTGTAATAAGTAGACACTGCGAAGCCTGCGCTACAGGGGGTGGAACGTATAGCACGCTGTTTGGTATTGCAACATTTGCTGTTGCAGCGTATGACAACGATCCGGCATGCAGTGCCGTACCGGTGGGATCGCTTTTTGCGCACGTCGGTGAATGCACCTGAATGTATCAAACCTGTGCAGGAACGTTACGCTGTATATCGTCACGTTGACTGCTTAAAAGTTGAAACTCATGGAAGTTATGGAACATTATTATTAGCCGCCGGGCCTTACGATTAATCATTTTGCAGAAGGATGACTCAAATTAAAAAAAAAGGGAGACAAGCGTATATTATTGTACACGCGCAAGAAGTAAAACTTTTATAGGTTGTAAATTGGCTTAAACTATTGCATTAACTAACAACTAGACACCAGAAAATACAACTTTATTTTGAGCGAACGAATGCAGCATATTGGTTTAGTTTTGTTAAAAAAATTTACGCTTGCACCATACAAAACTGCAGAGGAATTACAAATCAAAACAAACACAAACAAAGCTTTCTAAAACCTGTTAAACTGACTCCTTTTGGACATATCCTTCAGGGGTCACACGTAACGTGTGACATTTGACGCGTGACGTCACACTTCGGTTTTATACCCTAGTAAATTTCCTTCCTACTGTCGATAAAGAAGTTTCACTTCAAAAACAAAAAAGTACTAACCAAAGTAACCATAAATTATAATAATAATTATAAACGTGTAAAAATTTTTATTTTTAGATTACCTGAATTATTAATTAAAGGAAAAATATTAACCCACCTGTATTTTTCGTCTGCTAATATACTAGAATACTCACAATTTTGTGTTTCAGTTTGATTTTGTGGTGCACTTGGTATCATTCCAAATAAAATGTAGTGTCGAATGTATTAAAAAATTGGCGCCGCAATTGACGCAGAAATACTTTCAATTCATGCCAAGCTTTTTCTATTCAAAGTTCAAATAGGAACCTTGACAAGTTTACGCTTGTGGTACTTAAAATAACTGATAAGATCTAAATACTTACCTGAATCCAGGTTATTCATCTCATGAAATATAAAAAAAAAATATGTGGGGCAGTGGTGGTTCGTAATGAAATTAAACGAGTGGTTTACAAAAGTTTACTCATCCATTTTTTAAAAGTTACTTCAATAATTCTATCATTCATAGAAGCCGTAACCTCATTGAAGCGATCAAATTTTGATATAAATATTTTTTACTCGTTTTATGTGGGATTTTGCGTTATAGTGTTATATTTGTTAGGTACGTCTTTTAAAAAACTAAGACTATTTATTTGTTTTTTTTTTGCTATTATTGACTAGAGCAAGCAATGAAAACGAACAACGTTTGTTATAATTATACGACTTATTAATTCATAAGTGCATCAAGAGCTATTTCGTGTTTTCTTGAATGGTCATTAGATTTTTGAGTTCAAATTTCAGTTCTTTACTTCTAAACAACTGATTAAACTTAAGCACTTACACTAAAACTAGTTTCTAACGGTGATCCTTTCGAAAACCACCATTAAAACTGCGGATTGCAATTAAACACGGCCAACGGAAGAGCGATTAACATTTTCAAATGGAACAAACTTTATCGCTTCTGGAGCTGTGATTTATATTGCATGTACAGGGTGATAGTTGGAGTAAGACAGATGAAACGAACGAAATGAAAACGAAGAGAAGTGAATGATTATTCTTGGAATATTTATTCATAAATGCATCATGGAAGCGGTATTGACAAAATAGTACTGTATGAAAATAAATAAAAATAAAACAAATAC